AGTTAGGAGCTCAACTCGGGCATCAAAATTTGTAGAATTGACATATCGAGTGGAGTTTCAAAGTCCCCAGTCATCAGGTTGTTAAGTTGTTAGGCCACACCCTATTTCTAAGCATTTACTTGCAGCAATCACAATACTAATTTCAAGATATCTCGGCTTCTGATTATAGTTCGGTGCTTAGCCGGTAACAGCTGCTGTGGCTAGGATTTGGGTAGGAAACAATAATCCCCAAATCACTCCAGTTGGAACCAAGAAATTACGACAAAGTTTACTAATTATGTACTTTGGGCTAGTATTTAACGAATCTAGTGTGTTCAAATTGTGTATGTTATCCTTAAACCAACTAACCACAATTGGAATACAACAAACCGCTCAAAGTCAATTTAGTGAATTTACCATGTTTCAACTGTTTGTTTATCTATCCTTTCTTTTGCAAAGCTATAAGAAACCTTGGGCTGAAATCTGCGAGATTGGCGATTGCTGCTGTAGCTTATGTTAATTGATTATGTAGCTTATGTTAATTGATTATGTAGCTTATGTTAATTGATTTGCTTAACTCTAAAATATATCAATAAGAATCATTATCAAGTGGTTATAATAGCTAATTCAGCTGCGATCTTTAGATTTATTGTATTCTGTTCATAACTATGTACTTTCTGTCTCTTGTCAGCCTTTTTCCTTCTGTGACAAATATCGTGTTACTTATCTATTTACCTCGATAAAGATGATTTAAATTTCTACTGCACAGAATAACTGCAAAAGAAGAAAAATGGCGATTATAGAGTTGATAAAGAACAACTCAAAAGTATTTAGAAGCTTGGAGATGTCCTATGATACCACGCGTGCTCTGGATTATCTTGCAGGAGCTCTTCTGATCAGTTTCTTCCTCCTCTCTACCATACTGAACCCCATAGTATTCTATCACTACTGGAAACTACCTCCCACCATTCCTAACAGTCTGTATCGGCTCCTTGCTATATCAGACTTGCTGACAAATATCTTTAGACCTGTCGTAGTCGCAATCACACATTTCCAGACTAAAAGCATGGTTAGTGTCCTAGTGAACAGAACGGATATCTCAAGTGTAGCAACTGTAGTTCTTGCCATGAGTATGACCACTTCTTTAGCATCAGTAGCTCTGCTCTCACTGACCCGCGCCATCAGGATCCAGTGGCCTTTTCACCGTTTGAAGAAGAGACATGTGTACGTCTGGCTTGGATTGGTGACAATCTTTGAATTTGTGGTAGCAATTTGGAGCCTGACAGAGGACTTGGGAAATGTCAGATACTTCATGTGTTCAGGCACTTGTCTTGTGGCAAAGATAGTGGCCCTTAGGGATCAAGAGAGGAGCTTAAATATTTCAGGACTTTCCTATTTATTACCCTTGCCAATGTATGTTCATGCTTTTATCTCGGTTTTGGTATCGGTTTGGGCGATTGCTTCCCTGGCTAGCGCTATCAAGCAAAGCAAACTAATCAATAACACAGTGCTTCCTCCTACCGATGGAAGTAAACGGAAAACACCGCTGCAAAGAATTGTTCAGAAATTTAAAGGATGCCGAGCTATCATGATCATTAACTTCACCTCCTTAATCATGGTCATATTCACAATAGTACTGTTACTGCGAACACGAAATGCGCAGGTCCTACCTGATTATAGAGTAGACTTCTGTCATGTGTCTTATGCAGTAAACTTGGGAATACCCACATTAATGGCAGCTACCAACCCTCTTATCTTAGTTTGGTTTAATGAGGATGTAAGGGCCCGCGTTAGTACACGGGGGCTACCGGACACCTGAACCCAATTTAGTCAATTTAGTCAATTTAGACTAACCCTAACTCTAACCCTAACCCTAACCAATTAAGCTGATTGGTTAGTGGGAACTGGGTTCAATTGGGTTCAGTTGTCGGTCACCCGTTGGTTGTTGTAAGAAAATCTCGAGGAAGAATGAAGTTGATCCTGAGGTTGGATCTGATCCGCAGGTTCAGAGTGAGATGTGACAGTTCACATTTCTTAGCCTCGGTCGTATTTAATTTTGGATTGTGTATCCTGTTTTCAAAAATATATATTATGCGATTTAACTTTCAATAATGAAATCAACCTTTCAATTTATTGTTTAATTTTATCAGAGTATAATTGTTTCGCAGTGACATGAATTGGTGTCAGGAAAACAAGCCCGGATATTTGTTTACTGACTTATTAACATATTTCATGGACATCAGCAGAACTTAAAAGTTAACATGAATGTATTAAACTTAATCAAAATGTCCCAAGAGATGATATTGTTCCGATTTTTTTCAAGCCAAAATTAATATTTATTCAATTTTGCTTTGTAAAGCCCAAATTTAGGTCAATAATAATTTAATAATCCAAAAAGGAGAGGCTGGATATTGTTGCTCAGGGTGCTGATTGCTGAATTGCACCTTCTGGCACCCCATCCTGCACAATAAGGTATGTCCGGACTGGCTGTTAGGAATCTAGTGTTGCTCCTGTGGAGTGTGGACCTGTGTTCCTGCTCCTTTAGTCCGGCGTCTCATGACCAGTATGTTGCTTCTTCTTGATGCTCTTTCACCACCAGCCTCTGGAAAGTCATGAAATGAAGACAGCATTTTTTTGTAATTGGCTATACAAATTCAGAAATTGAATATTATTCATTGGCGTATGAATTTAATTTGACTTGCAATATAATTATGTAGAATGTATACTACATGCTGAATATAAATAGAAACACGCTAATAATTTCACCTGCGGGTGCGATGTTTCTCGAGATGCTCAAGGTGACTGGTATAACCAACCCAATCTTTGACAGAAGGAAACTTCTAAAACTCTTAATCGTCAGGGTGTAAATATAAAAGTTAGACATGATATTAGTTATTAAAACGAAAAAAGCTCCCCTGTATAAAGTTACATGGAACATTCCTGATTGATCCTCGTTCACAAAACCATATCCCAAGTGGTATACAGCTACAGGAAGAGTAGAGATGATATAGACAGCAGCTGTAAGGGACACCGTCAAGGCCCCTTGCCGGGGAATTCTGCTTCGAGTTCGTCTTGCTGATGTCATGGCACTAGCTAGGTACTTCAGGGTCGGAATGGTTGTCCCGATTGTGACCATGTTTGGAACGATAAGAAATACTATGGATATTATGGGTGATACAATATCCCACACATTAGCGCTGAAACAACACACGCAATAGTAAATTCTGTAGTCAAATTGCACGCCATCTTTATCAATGGCTAGTATCAGTAGAGGTGCGATAAGGGGAGGTATCCAGATGTAGCAGCATACCTGGTTAAAGGTCATCCTTGGCCAACATGTTACTCGGAGAGGATACCTTAAAAGAAGCAGCTTACATGATGTCAACATTGCTATGTGCAACATACCTGTTATGTAAATGGAATAGCCAAAGTAAGCTGTAACATAGCAGAGGTCGTCTCCTAGGATCCAGGAATTGGCTAGCAATGAAATAGCTGCTGGAAGAACTTTGAATAGAGCATACGCCAGATCCGAGACTGCTATATGATGAAATATTGTGACTAAGATCTTGTTAAGTTTGAAAGAGCCTTGAATAGATGCATAGAGAATGAGAGTATCTCTGAAGAAGGATGATAGACAAACGAAGAGATGGTAGCCAGCCCATGAGTATCTTTCTGTGTCGTTGTGGATTCCGTACGAGGTATAGTTCGCGTACTTGGTGTAATTCAACATGATAAACAAGCGTTATCAGAACAAGATAAGAATACTGCTGGAGAGGATTATTGTTTCTCTGAATAGAGCACTCTTTCCAGTTAATCTTGGCTTTTAGGTTGGTGATTTTACGTCACAAGGCACTTAATTATTATCAAGCTTGTGCGCCTGACTTTCAGCACACCTTGTAAATACGACACAATAATACCGCTTTTTACTTTTAAGCTTTTGATATTGTTATATGACTATCTCCATCAATATCTTTAATGCACAATAATGGTATCTTACTTTGAGATATTCCCAGAAACAAATCTTGATAGAACCCTGCACCTTGTCTACCAAAGTCAGGATCTACAAAGTGGTTTTTTTGCTGTTGAGAGAAGCTGGGTCTAGGTGACAAGATACTTTGCCTGCCTCTGAGGTGTGGCAACCCTCCTAGGAGATGATGCCGGGGAAGTCTGCGGGAGTATCACATGACCTACTTCTGCGACTGACGACGCACATGTTGGTCAAGAATATCACGTGACCTTTAACTTTACGCAAGAACTATATTATATCTACTTGACACGTACCAGAGTTGCAGGCGCTGGTGAAGTTCCAGCACACTGCTTACTATTGAGTTTCTTGGGCCAGTTTCAGAACCTGACTTCAAAGTTAAACTTGACCGGTAAATAATGGCGTAGCGACTGCCCAGTTTGACATGAGGCGCCGTGTATTGTCGTCGTCGTCTACTATGGAGACGAATCGACTCGACCTTTTTTGTTTGCCCAGCTTAACTTGACGCCCATTCTTCATCCAACGTTCGGATTGAGGAACTGTTTAAAACTAGAACACCGACTTCAACTGTAAAAAGTACCTTAGTTTAATTTATATGATAATAATATAAGTCCTTTACAATTCAAGGGGTATGCGTATCATTTTGACTCATGTCACTTTTTACACCATCCTCCACCATTCACTCTGATTTCACCGGCAACCTTCCCCAGGGTTGCCACACCCCAGAGGTAGGCAGAGCATCTCAATGCTATCCTCTCGTGGGCTATCTTGGCCCAGCCTCTCTTTTTTTTAAAAGAAAAAATGGGGTATGTCCTTTCTTTAGAATAGATTAGATAGTAGCTCAAATGCGTTAACAGATCTTCCATCTTTCCTTACTGCCATCAAAATTACTGTTAATAAGTTTGTCACTTGTCAGAAATCTGGTTGCTTGGTTGGTTAATTTCGAGTTAATATTTATCAAAATTTATCGAAATGTGTTCGGTAACTAACAGTTATATAAGTTTATATTAGTTTTGACTGAATGTTTATTTTTCAGCTCGGAGGTGAAGCAGTCAAAATCTGAACCTTTAACCAAGGAAACGGTTACCAAGGAAACGGATGCAAACAAGAAACCAGAGTCCGCCAGAAAGAAGGAAGTTGCTTCTAAAATAACTGATCAGCCTATTGTTGAGGAGTCATCCGAGTATGAAACTGAAACTGACGAAGAAGGTTTTTAAATATTTTGATTGAAAGTATCCTAGTATAGAATTATTGTCGCGAACTTTTTTTCGTTAGCTTCAAATTTATAATATTAGCAATGCCAATATAAGCATTATGTTTCATTGCGACTACTCCATTAAAAAATTATAATTATAAATCATACCATATATAGTAGTACAGGCTACAGCAACGAAATATATATATATATATATATATCTGGGGCCAGGTTCACTTGTTTTTGAAGGCATGAGAGTGAAACGTGATCAAGATTCCCCCGATAAGTTTTAACAGACATTGTTTCAGGGGAGTACGAGGACGAAACAGAAGATGAGACAGAAGATGAAAAAGTAGACAAGAAGGAAGAACCCGTGAAGACGTTGGTGGGAGAGATGCCATCTGAGAAGAAGAAGAAGAAGGACGACGAGATAACAAAGGATGAACCGACCACTTCCGGGACTAACCCTAAGGTTTGTAGTTGGACTTAAAATAATCCCTTTGGATGATGGTATGTGAATCACGATCAATGCAAAATTATGGTGAAATTTTTTATCGTTTAAAATTGTGAATTTTCATGAAATTTTGTTTCAAAACTGTTATAAATTTATCTGCCCTTCAGCCAGCAGAAGAACCGGCTCCGTCAAAATCCCAAAAAGAGCCGAGCAAGTTCATGTTTTGGAAGAAAAAGCCTAAAAAAGAAGAAAAACCGGTGATCCCTGCAACCCCTGGAACTCAGAATAGCTCCAAAGCTTGTGTAATTTTGTAGTTTGATCCGTAAAGCTCAATGTTAATAATTAATAAATAATATTATGTTAATGTCAGACATTTTAGGAAACTGTTTAGTAGTTAAGTAAACTGGCTTTGTTATATGCGATAATGCAGTGATTTGTTTGCGTCCTGTGCTGTGCGTGTACATTTACAAAAGAACGTGCTATGCGTGTACAAGAGCGCGCGGTACTTCAGATTTTAACTAGTTTTTACATGAAACCATATATCAGATAATTTATTTTTGGATGAAGTGTGTATAAAGCTGTACAGTATTATAGTAAATTATTCGTTACATAATTTTTAACGTTGGTTACATAATACTTTATTGTCATATTGATTTAAAGCATAGTAATGTTTCATAGGTATACGTGTGAAGCGGGCTTTGCACCAGAAGTAATTAGTACAATTAGTATTACTACGGGCACATTCCACATTAATTAGTATTTTAGTAACTTTACCACCCCTGGGTATGGACTATGGAGTTTAGATTGTTAATGTTGTTTTCAATCTTGCTTATGTCAGATTTGAATAAAACAGTCATATTGCACCTTTGAATAATAATTCATGTATTTAAAATCAATCAAAAGTAGGAGCAGGTTAACAATCTGTAATTTTACGGTATGAATTAAAAGTATGTCAAATATAAAATAATTTAATTACCGTTACACTGACTATATAATAATAAAACTTGTGATTGATTATCTGAGTCTTCGTTAACGATAAAAAATGCCACCACCTACTTCAAGTTCAAGTGCATATTTAAAGGGGAGACGGATCTTAATGATTATTAACTTAAAAACCACATTTATATTTGGAGTTGAACTAAATATCAGCTATCCTGAATCAAAGTTAACAAGACTATTTACTATAGTACAAAAATGATATTTTTTAGTTAGTTGAAGATGTAATAAACCATAAATTGGCGGTTTACAATAAGTCTAAACTTCTGTTATATTAGTATGACTATGTACATAGTTAATTAAATTTAAATGGTGTAGGGCGTAGGCAATATGGTAATCTAAGATTTAACTTCTGTATAAAGAATTAAATATAAACTGCTGAATTCAATTGTAACATGATTCATACTTCAAGTGTTTAATTTGGTAAATATCACATCTACATTTTTAAAATCGTCAATTACATACAAACAATCAATACCGTGCCACGCAAGCCCTTAAAACGGTTGTTTCTGTCTTTAAAAACGCTGCCGTAGCATGTAACATATCACCCATGAATAAAAGCAATGAGGATCAGGAAGGCTAGACCATTTCGTTATCTTGCATGTTAAAAAGCATTTATCTGGCCCGCCATTATGGGGGGGGGGGGGGGGGGGGTCAACTTTTTTACACCATGCATGAAATTAAAAAAGGCTAAAACTAAAAGTGTAGTGTAAAATAGTCTACAAAGTAAAAAGTGTAATTCACTTTCAGTGACATTTTTGTCTCACAAAGAGTATGTTTTACCCCTGTTTTGCCTTTGGAAATGTATTATGTGAAAATCTGATGGGAAAATAAAAGGAAAAAGAAGATTTTGAGACGATAAGTGTAAAAAAGTAAAAAGTGTAATTTAGCGTACCTTTTTTACTACACTTTTCACTACACCATACACAAAAAAAGGCAAATGTTAAAGTGTAGTGTAAAAAAAATTTAAAATGTTAAATGTGTATAAAAAGGTGTAGTGACCCCCATCCCCCCCCCCCCCCCCCGCTATAATCTAAATTCGCTTCTTGTGATAAAATAATTTAAAAGTTTTTCCACCATAATGAAATTGAATCATATTGCACTAGCTGCTAACGAGACGGCGCCACCTGTCAATACATATTCCAATTCAGAGAGTGGACGAACGTTAGTCATGTTTTTCACAAAGGTCCTTTCCCGCCAGAAGTACGATATAAATATAATTATGAGTTGGACTTGGAGGAGGTTGTTGAAACATATAATTGATACGATCAAAGTTTGTATTGTCAGCTAGGAGCTTTCAGAATACATATTGCATGTGTAAATCTGAAATCGTTTTCAGAATTATGAGTGTTTGAGTGATTATAAAAGTGAAAATATTCTGATTGGATTAAGTGGTCTTGTTATGGACACTAGAGAACAGGATATATAATAGGTCGATCATGATACTGATAGATCGAAACAAACACTGTCTAGTGATCACTGATATAAAGGGTATGATATATTATGTCTGAATCTGATGTCACTACCGGTACCATATCAAGTAGCTGATATGCTATATATTAATATAACAAATGTATTATAAATTATACATTATAATTTCAAATTACGATGTATAGCAGTAGGGTATGCTTTGTAAAGAGGGGGCAGTAGTCAGTACAGAGTACTACCACTAGCTAGTAGCTGCTATGTAGGGTACACTGAATATATTAGATTTGGAGTTGGTTCTTCCTTTGAGAGGAGATCTCATGCTCGATATTGTCCTCGATCTCCTGTAAAAACAATCGATAACTCGCAGCAAAGAATAATATATTAAAAACATTATCCATTTCTTAGAATGTAGATTGTAGAAGGAATAAAGAATGTGCAGGAAGTTGAATCGGACGGAAAAATTAGAAAATGTAAATAAAGAGTACAGCAAAAAGCAAAGATAAGTAAATTGCAATTATTATAATAATAATATAGCAACTACTAACTGGTGTTCGGACTTGACAGTAGACTGGTGAAGCTTCTTAATGTCACTCTTCCGTCTCGTCTCACATTTTAGTATACCCTGTATTGCCTGGTAATTCTCGGGTTATAAAGTCATCACGACAATATTGTAACTCAATATAGTGCATATTTATTCATGTCGTAGTGTACTTTCCTATAATGCTCGTTACAATGGATTATGCGCCAACCGTGAGCCTGTCACGGAATATTAAATTATACACACTTACTGCAACGTATTTGCAGTCATGTACCGGTCCTGGAATCGTGAAGCAGATCAGACGCGTCGTATAAAGAATAAAAATCATCTTCGCTTTGCAATCTGCATCATCCTTACTTATCATCCTGACTCATCATTCTAACTCATCTTCAGAAGTTTTGTCCCCATCCTTCCACACGGATACAATATACAATATACATCTTCTTCAGATGTTTAATTCGCCAGTGACCATAAAATAACCGCTGAATCGTGGTCGGATCAATTTGACCCGTGAAAATTTTCAAGCTTGCGTAAAAATATTAACATATTGATATATCAATGTGTCACTTTTAAAATACATAAGTTACGCGATTTGTGCGATAAACTAGGATTTTAGAAGTAAAACTTTTACTACCTTTGCTGCTCGCGTATTTTAAAATCAGAGTTTTATATTTTACATTTTTATAGATTGTCCCACTATGCAGGACCCTTTTACTCATTATCAATAATTATATTTCATTGCGAGGTATTTTGATACATGATTTGACACCGATAAATTCTAACAACCATCACTGATTCACTGAAAGTGTCATATCATGATTTGATCAATTAGGATAACCTTGGTCAATACAGCTTATATGGAATTCAATTGTATAAATTATAACCACTAGACCATATTTACTGGGCTGAGCTGCGCTGTCATTCCGCAGCCTGTCATTCCGCCGAATCTCTAAGTCTATGAACATGATAGCCTGAGGTCCCCAGGTAAGACCATATCGGATCGCAGTCAAACCGAACAATGATTTAATTTTAACTATGTTTTTTATCGTGTTGTCTTAAAAATCTTTACCAGTAGTTATTTTTGTCGTATGCATCTAGGATCAGTATCCGCTCAGATCACATTTTAAGCAAACCCAACGGAGGAGGGTAACTCCAGGGACCAGGAGAGCATTAGGTACTCCTATATTCCTAATGCTCTCCTGGAGTTATTGAGCAATAGTTCCAAATATTACTTCTGGCATTTATACAATCACGTCAACAAGCTTAAAACTTTATTGGTGAACAGTTTTTTCTACAGAAAGAGAGATAACAATTCCTATGAAATAGAATTAGCTAGAAGAATCTAAAATCAGCTAGAATAATCTAAAATAGAATAAACTGCTTGCCAATAAAGTGTTCAGCTTAATGACGTTGTAATAATCTAGCGAATTTTTCTAATCTCAATCGACTATAAATACGCATATCGGCTCATCAGTTTAAACTTTGATATTTTAAAATTCTGCCCGTGTATGCATGATGACGTCAAAAGTAAACAAATTTACGAGGTTAATTCCGTATTTTCGACTTGAGCTTTGATAAAACTTTGCCATAAGCAGAGGATACAGTACACGTATAGACATTAAAGTTCTTCCTTACTTTTGCCCACCTCAACTACCATGTACCAGCGAGACTTGTCAAAACATAGACTTGCTATCTTTCATTGCCTGTTTTTACGTGCCATGCACGGCGCACGCACGACGGACCGCTGAATGATAATAACATGAACGAAGAATGGAACACTTTCTGACAAATCTCTTGCCGCAAAGGCATTAAACAGCCTACTTAAAGAAACTTGCTCGACCACAGCTCAATCTGTTACCATGTATCGGGTTGCGATAAATGGTAAATTCTATCATCTTTCCCTAGCTACTTTCCGGTGTTGTACCCCACTCAATTACCCCAGTCCACGGTCTATTGGCTGCACTCAATCTCAACCCATCAAGGAAGACGACCCCGGAAATAGAAATGATGTCATCTGATTTATTTTCTATCTTATCTCGTCCCTTGGCGATTACTCCTGTCTACGGTCCTGTCTGCTAGACTGGAAATTTGTAAACTTGCCCGTGATCACTGATCTTTGAGTAATTGTATCGCTTTAGATATGCCTTCCCTTCTGCAAACCCTAATTTGTACACATTCGACTTTTCAGTGATCGTTTCGTAGCTGCCATGTCCTAGATCTCTATTTTTATGCACATTGTGTTAATTCTGCTAATAATTTCGTTTGTTCAATCTTATAATTGTGTTTGTTCATGAACGTCCTGACATTATTGATCAGTGCCTGTCATAAGGGTTTACGTATTACGTAATCACTTTTGGGCCGATTTTTAACCCCCCCCCCCCCCCTCATTAATCAGTTTTACACATAGCTATTGTGTAAAAATTACACTAGCGTAATCAATATCATTGGGAAACCCCCTCCCCATCAGCTGATTACATAATATTTGAACGATCCCTTAGCTTGTGTTTTTTGTCTTGGTCGTAATTTAATCCTTCTTGATGTTAACAATGATTCCTATTTATTATTTACATTCCATTAGTTTAATAACTACCACCTTACAGTTTTTAAAGATTATGTCACTAATTGGTTTTGCTACTCTGTCCATTTTCTGCACGACCTTGAATTCAGTTCTCTGTAGACCCGACAGAAACATAAAAAACAAGGAGATCTCTGAAGGTAGAAGCTCTGTCTTCCAAAAACGTCGATCTGATTTATCCAAAAGACTATACCAGAACGCTTTAAACAAAGTTGTGCCGCCTCAGGACAGCTATCAGGCTGCAAAACGGTTTGTTGATCCCAACAAGAGGATTAAATCAGAGTACTTCACAGCGACTAGCACACCTCCCTGGCACCCTGCATTAGTACCTTCTCTGGAACTACAAAACCTCTGGATACTGATAAATACGGGCGGGTACTTAACAGACGACTTTGTAAGAACTGTTGAGCCCTTAAATACGGAAGATCCTACCGAGAACACATTTGGCAATGAAAAGTGTTGCATGTACTGTTTTTTCATCGACCTCGAGCGAAACGACAGCGAAATCATATCATCTGCGTACGACAAAGGACTCCTAGAGTACGAGGAAGCAAGGAGGTGCTACAACCACTGCTACACTCACACATGTGTACTTTACAGCGCCTCTACTAGTCTGGCAAGTGAGAACGTGCCCACCTACGCCCCAGACCGTCAGATAGATATTGAGATAGTGACAGGGACAGTGAAGGAGGAAACAGTGAAAAGAGGGAGGCAGCACTGTTACCAGACCATCCGACCCCTGAATGTCACTGTGAGGGACAAGGCCCTGTGTTATCTCCGTTACAAACCCACCAGTGATAGTCCCCGACCTTCTCACCGACCTCTAGGATTGAATGTGTGGACTTGTTGTAGGAACATTATCTCTAATCATCATGCTAATGATAATGGTTAATAGGCTGTGAGATCAGGCTATTTCGGGAGCCTGCTGATACCAAAAGACAAACTAGATCTTACGTTAGGATTAGGTTATAAGTCAATTTGGTAATCCGTCGATGATCGTTTAAGTGACCCTTAACGTGCACTAAGCGACCCTTAGGCAACTCTCGAATAACCTTTGACTAACCTCTAAATAACCATTAAGCGATAATTGCCGGATGAGAAACTTGCTAGATTTTATATTTATACAATAATAGCTAGGTAGTTAAGCGGAGATTACAATCATAATTTATCTTTTTGAATTATTTGTTGCTATTCTAAAGTATACATGAATGATGATAAACATGATTTTTAAAAGGTGTTTACGAGATTTGAATATCATAATTACCTTTCTGAGTTGCTTGTTGCAGGAGATGAAAATTATTGTGCCTGCATTACAGTTTAAGAAAAACAACACTGTTGCTATCTGGTTCAGTATACTGTATACTGTCTTATCTGAAAAGAATAATACACTCGTTTAGTGTATTATATGCACCATATTGTGTTTAAACCGGTAATGAGTTTGGAAAAATATACAGTTCACAAGGGCTTGCTAAATCATAGTATGTAAGCATATCGTATTTGGTTAAACGCCCAAATCATATAACCTATGCAGCCTCCTTCTAACTTTCTAACAAACCTTTGAGTGAAAAAAAAAACAATTTAACAGTACTGAAATACCCATTGCCCCTAGCAACTTAATAACCCTTAGCAACTTAGTAACTCTTAGCAACTTAGTAACCCTTTAGTAACTTAGTAACCCTTAGCAACTGTTAGTAACCCTTAGCAACTTAGTAACCCTTAGCAACTTAGTAACTCTTAGCAACTGTTAGTAACCCTTAGCAACTTAGTAACCATTAGCAACTTAGTAACCCTTAGCAACTTAGTAACCCTTAGCAACTTAGTAACCCTTAGCAACTTAGTAACCCTTGGTCACTTAGTAACCCTTAGCAACTTAGTAACCCTTAGCAACTTAGTAACTTAGTAACCCTTAGCAACTGTTAGTAAACTTACGATCTTCCACTTCCTGCTCCGAAGGTTGAGCTATGGCATAGTATATGCCTATGATAAAGACAGGCAGGAGGCATATTAAGGAGCAAATGATAACTGCGCTGACCACCGCTGTTGACTTGATGCTGAAAGTTATACTTAGTGAAAATATAACAGGATGTTTTAATACTTTCAACACTACTATATAACAAATAATTTTTTTCTAATGATGTAGTTTTACGTTTTGTGTTTCCCTTCGTGTCCAAAAGCATTATATTTATAACAGAATGTTATGTTATTAATTCTTTCTTAAAAACTGTTCGTTTTCGTCTATTTTAATGTTTCGTGGCAGTTCAATAAATGTAGAAGTTAAAGTAAAAGAAAGATCAATTGTTCTTTAAACTTACTGGGATTTTGCCTTCTTCATGAGATTTTCACTTCCGTCGTACAGTGATTCACACAGACTACTAACTCTCCTGCTGTTCTCCCTGAACAGCACCATAGGAGATCAAAACAAAGTGAAAGTGAAAGTGAAACTATTTGATGATCCCTTTTAGGAAATGAGAAAGTATGTGTTAAGGGGCCATCATGATTGGTAATTGGTATTAATAATAATAGATTACTAATAGGTATTGCACAAAAAATGGCACAGGAAAATGAGCTCTTAACCCGCTACATGCAAGTATGTGAATAGTTTACTAAGTAGTACAGTACTTACCTAGCGATGATATATATGACGATGTAAGAAATACAGATGGTAGTACAGTACATGGCTTACCTAGCGATGATATATATGACGATGTAAGAAATACAGATGGTTGCTAGAGGAATAGGAAAGGCTCCGATGCAGAAAAGCAGGAAATAGCTGCCCTCAGGGTTTCCAATTCCACATGTATAGGTGTTCTTACTGAACCTGGGAATTTTTATAATCACTTGTTAATCACTTAATTACTTACTGGGCGGCGCTCAGCCTGTCATTCCGCCGAATCTCTATTCGGCGTTCATATGATTATGAACATGAATATAATAACTAGCCTGGGGTCCCCAGGTAATTAATTATTAATCAACAATTAGAAGCAGATTATTATTTCATGGTTCATACTATTCCTAAAGCGTACACTCAGCGGCCATGTGCCTGATTTTCTTATTAACATGTATTTTAAAGTCAATTTTACTGTGGAAGTTAATTAATTAATTGATCAGCTAATTACTTGTATTTGTTGTATCCGAAGACCGGAGGGAGGGACAGAGCAGTGGAGTAAACCCAGATACCGAGTAACATGAACATTGCCTTCCTTCGGTTCATCTTGGTGTGGTACTTCAGCGGGTACATTACGTAGATCAACCTGGTGTAGTGTAACTGTGAACTTGTGTTAACACGTCATAGGTTTTAAAATTACTATTAAATAAGTAGAACTAGTAAAATATGCTTTCTTATTCATTTATGTTATGTTATTGTGAAAATTTATTTTCAAAAAAATGTCGTTGCGTTTGGAGACAAACCTGTCTAGAGCATATAGTCCAAGTGTCCACATGCTACATACAGCGACAGAGTTGTCCAGGACACCACTGAAATTACACGTCGGTCCTTCGTTCACATTGTCCTGTAAAATTCCAGGGCCATCCTCTATTAAACTGAGATGGTACTATGTATGAGGGGGAGGGAGGGGAGAGGAGGGAGGGGAGAGGAGGGAGGGGAGAGGAGGGAGGGGAGAGGAGGGAGGGGAGAGGAGGGAGGGGAGAGGAGGGAGGGGAGAGGAGGGAGGGGAGAGGAGGGAGGGGAGAGGAGGGAGGGGAGAGGAGGGAGGGGAGAGGAGGGAGGGAGAGGAGGGAGGGGAGAGGAGGGAGGGGAGAGGAGGGAGAGGAGAGGAGGGAGGGGAGAGGAGGGAGGGGAGAGGAGGGAGGGGAGAGGAGCCAGAGGAGGGCTCAAATTGTACTACTCATTCTAAGATACAATTTAAAATACAATTCTGAAATCACTTATTCTCATATCTAACGGTTACGAAAACATTTGAGTAAATAAACTGAAAGGGTAACTAATTAAACAATCAGGAACTCACCCTAGAAACCAGCGACAAGGGAACAGTCCAACAAATAGTACAACTGTCGGCCACAGCAATACTAGCGAATATGAGGTTGCTAACACTTCGTCTCACACAAGGGTTGAGGATAAACGCCAGCAAGATCAACACGTGACAGATCACACCCACTGCCAGGATTAGGATGAAGTACACTATGTAGAAAGTCTCTATGTTGGTGAAGGAGGGTGCCATGCTACGAGAGAGGGTTGTTAGTGTTAGTGTTATTTATAACACTAACAGTAACAATACTCCTTTATAAAGGAGTACTGTTGTGGAATGTGGACATGTTTCGTTGTTTTGACAAACTCCCCTCGAAATTATAAACATGCACACTTCAGGGTCCAACACTATAAATGATAAGGATTTAGGATATAGATTATTATTAGTATTATTTCAAGGTCTAACTAAACTAAGCTATTAGCTATGACAACTTAGGAACACGTAAGCTGGACTCTAGGAACATACGGGGATATGGGGACTAGGTCCTCCCCAACATTACAATAAGATTTTAGTTGCAGCAGCTGTATACCATAAATAACTTCACCACCGTGCACATATTATGTTACCAACTTTTCATAACATTGTTGGGTCTCCTCACCCACTTCTAGTTCTACCCATAGCCCTAAGACTTCTATTCATAGAACAACTTCGTGTACCATATTTTTGTGCGTTACGAAATTGTTCCGATGCATTGTATTAGTGCGATGGTCAGGTGCAGCGATCTATACCGGTAAGATTAAATCATCAGGTCCATCGTGATTAATTCTTTGGGCCCATCTTCACGAACTGAGTCATAAGTCGTTAAGAGAGGAAACATCAGGATGTAACCAAGTTACCATATCCGTGTGGAGTTGAGAACTGATAGTGGTGGTGGGCGTGAAAATATAAAGTGGACGGTGATGCGATTATATAATGGTTGATAACAGAATTCGATGTTACAAGATACAATCCTGTAGTCGTAGACTCGGAGTCTGCAGCATTCATAAAGCCGATGTTGATTAATGCATACCTCTTCAGTTCAACGACTGTCGTTTAAAAAGGGAAATCTATCAATCGACGTTATTTCGTTGGATCATTTTTGGCAGAAGTAAATATCAAATAACTTGAAGTGAACTTGAAGTAAGGCTCACTTCTTTAAAACAAATAAGTCTCATGTAACAAGAACACAAAGATTGATCGAGATCTAAAGAAACTCTCCAGCCTCCAGTCTGGTGATTAGGTATCACCATTTCTGTAAACTTAAAGAAGCCAGACAATAACGGTATCAAGTATGGCATTTTTCAACTTGTTACAACCGAAGCACCAAAATTTGATAATTTCCAGACAGAAACCCAATTTTCTGGGGCGTATCGAGTAATCTAAGTAATTATCATTACAAAGTAATTATCATGATCGAATCATTATTTTGACCAGGTTTTTTAGCCACCTGATTTTGATCCTATTTGACATTTGACAATGCTGTAAATTTTACCTCGCTGAAGACAGCTTAATCATTGGACAAGTTCCTGGTGAAATTCTACTACTCAGAACAACTGAACGATAAAATTTAAAACGCACGAGAGAGAAAGCAGGGTCTTCAGTGATTGAAAACACTGATTAGTCTAATTATGTAATTATGAAACTGGCTTTTTACTAATTCACCGACACCACGGTTCCTTCACGTGAGAGCGGTTCAGCTGCTTTCCCGACGCCGAAGAATGAAGAAGAATCCTCTAAATTTATTTGGGTTTCATGACTGTCCTCTCATGCGGTAAATGATAAAGTGGACGTAGGTCGTAGTCATATATTTTATACGCTTGAAAATTAAAAGTGATGAGTTTCAGGTACAAATAAGGCCAGGTTAGAAATCTTTGTCATTTAATACGAAAATGGATTGAATCGATCTCACGAAGATCCCATTGCTGATTCAGAGGATCAAAATTGAATCAGTAGATGAAGTCAGTCATGAACATTCAATAATACCATGTATGAAGTTCTGGAAAACACGGCTAAATTATCCTTGGATATTATCCAGGAAACAAAGTATCCAGGATACAAGGTATTCAGGCCAGGATACTAACTTACTTACAAAGGATAATATCCAGGATCTCACTGGATAATCAGAGCACTAAGCTGTCGAAATATAATTTTAACAATTTATGATTACACTATTAAATTATGTTGTTTAACATAATATTAACAGAAGTTAATAAGTTAATCGAAATAATTCGCGTATCCAAATTCCATGGCAAAACCACAACCACTAGTCATATAATACTGAATGTAGAAATTAGAATAGTCGTCATTGCATCTGTTGGGTACTTAAGTAGAATCATGGTAGGTTTCTGGCTGTGATTTCCGAATTAACATATACTACAGGTGGCGGAGAAGGGAAAATCTAGTGAAATATTTAATTAGAATAAATCTCTTGACGACTCGGTCAGAGTAGGTACAGCTGCTGTTCCTTGGAGTACTCGACATTTCTTCATAAAAATTCAAGTTCAGGCAAACAGGAGGATGAAATTTAGAAATGCAAGTTAAACAACTACCACCTCAAAAAACTACCGTGCGAAACCAAATCATTTGACCACTGTGAAGTACAATGACGCATGACGATAGAGTGGAGCTAGACGCCAGATTGCCGGCCTTGAACCACCCCTTATTGGCCCCGGCACGTGTCACTGTACACGTGTATATACGGAGGTGGGGTTAACAACAGGATCAGGTGTGTAGCTCTGTTGTTACGGTTATTGAGTTCTTACAAACCTTAGCCCGCCTGGAGAATATGGAGATAACGTGAGTATTACAATTCACTGAGCGGCACATTGGCTACCGAGAGGTATTAGCCACAGACTCAGGTTTATTCAGTAACTGAGTAACTGTGTTGGATACGAAATCTGGTGACTAAAGGGATCCAAGTGGTTACTGAAATGACTTAAACAGCTTCTTTGATAGCTGGTTATTATAGTGATTGGTATAAGTTTCAAATTACCACAAAGCTATAAGCTGTTAACTCAAAACTGCTGACCATGACTCTATGGAGAAAGGGGGTAATATTAAAACTTAATAACTTGGAATAGCTGCACTATTCAGCCCTATAGGCCCCTGGTTGGTAATTGGTTTATTGTTAGTATATTGGGTGTTTTTTCTCTGTAAGAGCGAAGCTAACATAGAAATAGTTCTGTTTCAATCTGGTCTATATAATAGTCTGTTCATCAGTTATAAATAGGGTCATATCTGCACCTGAACAGATACAACAGTGATATAACTTTCATTGGATAGTTAACTCCTTTAATCTCTTAACACCTGGGCATGATCTGATCACAAATTAGAAATTATTTAAACTTTTCTCAAACAATTACAATTTTCATTCAGGTGTACCATTCACCACTATATTGGCACAGTAATTAAATACGATAAAAGAAATTATGCCAGTGCAGTGCAGTGCCAGTCTCTGCGAAATAGTTGGTAGATTTACAAAAGGTTGACCAATATTCAATAATATTTGTTGCCTGGGTCTAGTCTAGTAGTGATAGGCTTTGTTGGAAACAATGATTCCATTGGTCAAAAGAAACACCCACAGTGTGCAGATGAGAACAGAGTGTTACCAAAGTTATTAGTTCACAACATATCACTCATGTGGACCCGGGGAAGGGGAGAGCACTCCCCTGCAACTTTATCAAACACAGCATTAATGTGGGAACGTGGAATGTGTTATCATTGGAGAGCAGTTCCTCCAACCTGTATGAATTTTCACAGAATATGTCAGCATATAAAATGAATGTCTTGGGACTGACAGAGACGCACAGACCCGGCACTGGGGAGGTTACCTTGGATGATGGGTCCCTTTTTATTGACACAAAAAGTCGGCATAAAAAACAAAACCGAATCGATCACTTCAATATGACGTGATGAGGCATATTGTAGTTTACCAATGTACGGGGCGTGGTTATATCTGTTCGAGGGCTGTTCCCTAAAATTGTGCAAACATCCCAACACCAAACTATTGGTAAACTGTAATGAGGCTGAAATCCGAAAACTTACAAACGGGATCTTTATAATATATGAGATTTGTTAATTAATCAAGTTGTTTAAAAAGTATTGAAAGTTGTTTAGCATTTGAACATGTGTCATATGTCACCACCACAAAGATAAGTAGAGCACCTGCCTTGTTATAAATTTAAAAACAACCATCCGCTGATCCGCCACCATATTTGCATCATACAGCTCTGCCTCTATACTGGTACTATGCTAGGATGACTAACAAACATTGACCGTAAAACTAAAAGATTAGATAATTGAATAGCTGTTGAATTTACAGTTTTAAGTTAGAGGTCAAATAATTCATTGCCATTTCCATGTAACCATATCCGATAAGGCTGTGACGGGTGACTGGTCCATGCACAGATGCTTACAATACCCAATGGATATAGAATATAGATCCTACGATCACCTGCAAATTTGGGCGCTGTTAAAGATGATCAAAAAGCTCACATTGTGACTCACAACAAACTCAATACTCAAATAGAAAGATATCTAGCTCTAAATGTAAACGTTGGTTCTGAAAACAAACGTTTTTTTTGTGGTGCTATGTAATCCTATGTTGGGGCTAGAGCAGCTGGTTCCATCTCAATAGTCTCACTTAAACAAAAGATCACGGTTTTGCGAGGAATCGAAGCGTTTGTAGCCAGTTGCCACCTTTTGCCAGGTATAATCTTACACATTTCAATGAAAAGTGCAAGTGCTCATTTTGGCTGAGTTTTAGAAAATTTGAATTTTTCGGTTACGTTTATGTTGTAGCCGAAACATTGAGCCAAATTCTAATTAAGACAAAATAGTTCTGTTTTAGTTTTTAAAAACTCATTAAATATCAACGTAAAATTAATACAAGAATCAAAATAATATACGCTACGATGCTTTAAAACTAAAAGTTTAAACATCCTTATAAAATACACAGCATGCATGTGACTAGGTAGCGCAATGCACTATTGGGCCGCACCGCGCATCAAATATAAAATATTATTTTTCTAACCAAACGGTAGATTGGCAAAATGCACCACTGTCACTGGGCCTCGTCGAGCTGCGAATGAATGACATCGTGAATCAAGCATGTGAAAATTATGCATTTCAAA